TTTTTCTAAAGCATAGCTCCACCACCACCTCCCCACTCCTTCTCACTGGTTCCCTATTATCTACAGAATAAAATATAAATTCTTCTGTTCGGCATTTAAAATTCTTTATAATTTCACCTTTTCCTACCTTTCTTTCTAGTCTTGTTATATGTTGGTCCCTTCCCCAAACTCTACGGTCCAGCTTCAGTGGTCTACTTGCAGCTCCTTGAACATGACTTTTCATTTCCTGTCTCTGTGCCTCACCTCTGCCTCTTAGATAACCACCTTCTACTGGAGGTCTTTCCCAATCCCTTCCACTGCTAATCCATTCCCTTCTCAGATTACCTTCCATCTTTTCTGTACACATTTCCTGTCTTGTATGTACCTAATTAATTACCCAGTGTCTCTCCTCATTAGAATCTAAGCGCCTAGAGGACAGGGGCTACGTTTTCTTTTTATCCCCAGTACTGAGTATCATGCCTGGCACATGCTGCGTGCTTACAGATGCTTTTTCACTAACCAGTTGACTCCATATCCAGGCGTAGTCTCTTTACTGAGCTCTAGTCCTTCCTTGTCAGCTGCCTGTTGCTGTTGTTTTATTCTGAAATTAACAAGCAAAACCAATTAAATGGGCATTTTCTATAGATAGTAAAACAGAGGGGGAAAAAGGATTTCACAAGAAAACATCCTGCAGGTGTCTGTTATGTACAACTTGTTTTTCTTCCAACATATATAAGAAGTTCAACCTGTAGCTTTCAAAGCTGTCTGTCTTATCTGTGCTTCTTACCAGACTTCCTTGTGTTCTCTTCTCTGCATTAAAAAAAAAAAGATACCTCAGTTATCCACTTGTCTTTCTTTTTTTTCCTCTCCTATCCATATCCATCTTGACTTCCTACCCCTCCTGGTGTTGAAAAAAAAAAAGCCCTTGTAATAAGTTGGTCAGAAAAAATTAAGTGCCTGCTATGTGCCAGGTACTGTGCTAAGCACTGTAGATAAAAGAAGAAGCAAAAGACAGTCCCTGTCCTCCAGGAGCTTACATTCTAATGGAGGAGACAAAAAACAGAGATGCTTGAACATGCTCATTACAGGACAAATGGAAAATAGTTAAGAGAGAACAGGCACTGGTGTTAAGAGGGAGGATTTGGGTTGGGACTTAACGGAAGCCAGAGAGGTCAGTAGGTGGAGATGAGGAGGGAAACGTTCCAGGCACGGGGGAGGGCCAGAGAAATGCCCACAGCCAAGAGATGGAGGCTCATGAAACAGCAAGGAGTAGAGACAAGTAAAGCAAATTCCCACATCGACTATATCTGAAAATATTTGTCTTATTCTGCATCTTGAGCTTCAGTACATTTCAGGCTGTGATCTCAGACCCAGGATGTTCAAAACAGAACTTAATATCTTTTCCTCCCAACCCATCCTTCTTCCAGACTTCTCTGTTATTGTCAAGGGTACCACCATTCTTCTGCTTCCTCAGTTCACAACCTCATAATTATCCTTGACTCCTCATTTTCTCTTACCCCATACATCTAATCAGTTGTTTATACTTCCACAATACCTCTCACATCCATCCTCTTCCCTCTACCCATACAGCCTCCAACCTAGTTCAGTCCTTCATCACTTCCTGTGTAAATATTGTAATGCTTCCTAATTAGTTTCCCTAACTCTAGTCTCTCCCCAGTCTTCCACACAGCTTGCCAAAGTGATTTTCTTAAAGCATGGGTCTGACTATGTCACTCTCCTATTCAGTAAACTCTAGTGGCTTTCTGTTAGCCCTGGACCAAATATAAACTCCTCCATTTGGAATTTAAAGACCTCACAACCTAAAGGATCCAACCTTTCCAGCCTTTTTAACACTTTCACACTCCCTGTGGTCCTAACAAACCGGCCTTCCTGCTGTTCTTCATATACAACCTTCCATTTGCTGTTTCTGTGCTTGAAGAATAGGGCTGATGGGGTCACTGAACTCCCAAGCCTTGAGAATGGATCTTCTCTCTGGAGCAGAAAGTGTCAGTTGTGCTTCCCAGCTCAGGAGCTGAGCCCACTTTTGTGTAACTCTAGAATTTAGCCCTAGAGTCAACGAAACCTGGCTATGGTTCTGAGGGCATCTGAGAGACCATGTCAGGAATCCCGTTGTGCTCCAGATTAGAGGGGCTTCTCAGAATTGAGTTTGGTCACTAACACCCATGTCCAAGAATTCACCGGTGTGGGCTGTAATGATAGATACCATGATGTCCAAGCCAACCTGAGTTGTTCCAGGGTGTTTAGTACCTCACTTTGATGAGCTTCAGCTTGATAGCCATGATTCTTGTTTGAAAATATTAATTTAAATATTCATGACTTTATATATTGAATTCATGAGGTCCTAATTCTGAACATGTAAAATAGATCAAGGAGTCTAAAATATGTTGCAGTTTTTTTCAGCGTCAGTATTAAAGGCACATTGCTTTTATAAAATGCATAACAGATTTTAAAAACCAATTTAATCCTCTCCCAGAAGAGGAATCTTCTAAGTTAGGTTATTGTTAGTAAATGGCATATGTTAAAGCTATTGTCCAAGTACTTTTATTGTAGTCTTTAAGGGATAAACATTTATTATTTGTTTTCTAGACTTTGCCAGAGAAAGACCATAGGCCCTTCCCATCACTTTCAAATATACAGTTCAGGCTGTGGCAACAAGAATCTTCCAGAAATTATAAAATTTATCTTTTCATCACGCAAATTTTCTTGGATAGATAGTTATCATATTACTGAAACTTTCCAGAAAAAAACCCTCTCCAGTCTCTGTAGTAACTTGAAGTGCTTAATCACTTTTTCAGCAAGGAAATTCTTTTTTTCTAATTAACCTAAATCACTTTAATTTCCTTCTATCTGGTTTTCCTCAAAAGGGTCTTTTCCTGGCTAGATATCCTGAGAGTAGGGGTGGGTAATGCCTGGATTTGTGTGCTTAAGTTAATACATAATCACCTTTTTGAGAAAGCAGGAGGGCAGATGCTGGAGTTATGCCTTCAGACTTGTGAATTCACTGGGTACTATAGAATCCTAGAGTTGGAGCTGTAAGAGACCATAGTAAACATCTAGTTCAACCCCCTTCTCTTATTGGTGAGAAAATGGAAACCCCCAAAGAAAGACTTGCTCAGAGGCCTACAGCTACTTATGGCAGAGCTGGGACTAAACCTGGACCTTGGCATCCTAGAGCCTGTTGTTTCTACCTCCACAACGTCTCATCTCCATCTTCAGATCTCCACTGACAGCCATCGCCCTCGTGCAGACTCTCATCGCCTAACTGTTGTAGTAGCCTAGCTGTGAATAGGCTTACTGAATTGTTGCAGCAGCCTTTTAACTGAACTTCTTGTCTAGTCTCTACCTTCTCTAGTCCATTCTCCACACAGCTACCGAAGTGATTGTCCCAAAGTGCAGGTCTAAACATGTCATCACCCTGCTCAGTAAACCTCAGTAGCTCCCTCTTACCTGTAGGATCAGATGTGGTAGTACAGTGGGTAGAGTGCTGGGCCTGGAGTCCAGAAGACCTGAATTCAAATCTGACCTCATATACTTACTAGCTGTGTCACACTGGGCAAGTCACTTAACCTTTCTTTCCTTAGGTTCCTCGGCTGTAAAATGGGGATGATAATAGCACCTGTCTACCAAGATTGTTGTGAGGATGAAATGAGATCTTTATAAAGCACCTAGCACAGTGCCTGGCACATTGAATGCCTGCCTTCCTCCCTTAGTCCCTTCCTCCCTTCCTTCTTTTCTTTCCTCTTTCCTTGCTTCCTTCTTTCCTTCCCTCCCTCTCTGCTTCCTCTCATCATTTTTCCTTCTTTTCTTCCTTCCCTCCTTCTCTCCCTTCAGGCATTTAAAGCCTTTCACAGCCTGGTCTCATCTTACCTTTCCTGACACATCACTCCCTTTTTTGTGTACTGTGTTCCAGCCAAATTGGCCTTCTTGCTTTTCACAGATGGTACTCCATCCCCCTTCTCATGCCTTTGCATGAGTTGTCTCCCATGCCCAAAATGCACTCCCATCCCACTCCCTTCTCCTAGCATCCCTAGCTTCCTTCAGGGCTCAGTTCAAGGCCACTTCCCACATGAAGTCTTTCCTGATCCCCCCTGCCCAACTGCTAATATCTTTCCCACAGATGCCTTGTGTCTGTTCTGTGTACCCTGGTGTATATATGTGTAATCTGTCTCTCCAGAGACTGTAAGCTCCTTGAAGGCAAACAATGGGATATCTAAAGCCTAGGAAAGTGCCTAGCACATAGCAGGTGTTTAACCTTATTGATTGATTCTACATGGCTCCAAAGTAGGTAGCCTATTAATTCTTCTAAATGACTAACTTTCCACTGCTTTGTCTTCTGATCTGGTCTGACATCCATTTTATATTTCCTTTGTCTTTATCATAGTTCCTCTGACTTCATCATAGTTTTTACTTCAGTAGTGCAAAAGAAAAAACAAAAGGCATCTTTTAGTTGAGCTGCCCCTTCTTCATTATTTGCTTTTTGCCTTTTTTCTGTGAACTCCATCTTACTGTGTAATCTCTCTATGCCCTTGAGCCTACATTTGCATTAAATCCAAATAACCTTCCCAGTTCACCTTATCCCTTCTAGTACTCCTCCACCCCCTCCCCTGTACCTGCTTTCCACCTCTCCCTTGTCCCCTGCCCACAAGAATACCTCTTCCAAATAATGCATTTAGTACATTCCCTCCCCAGGGACTTGTGAGGATTAATTAGTTGATGTCTGTAAAGTACTTGGGAACATAAAATACTCCTGGGTAGTGCTCTGTGATGACATTATTGCTTTTAAAATTCAGCTACAGTTTCTGTTCTCCAAGCTGTTGGGGTTTTTTCCTGTGTATCATTATCCACTTTTGACTTCATATGAGATTGGCTCTATTTCTTTCCCTGCCTTTCTCAGTGTAATGTGTTTTATGAAACTTTATAGGAACTTAATAAATGTTAATCAAGTGAATAAAACTGTATCTCATTTTAAGGAATAAAATATTTGCTTTCTTGTGTTGTAGAAAGAAAGGATTTGATATTAAGTGGGTGGATGACACACATGCTCTAGGAGTGTTCTCCAGTCCGATTACAGGTATTTCTCTTTTATCCATTCTTATCAATTGAAGGAACCAGGCTTGTTTAGCTGGAGAGAAGACTCAGAGGAGACATTAGAACTGTCTCAAGTGTCTGAAGAACCGTCATGAGGAGGAGATTAGGCTTGTTCACATCGACCCCAGAGGACAACTTCCCTAAAAGGCAGATTTCAGCTTGATGCTAAGAAGAACTTTCTCACAATTAGAGCTGTCTGAAAGTCAAATGGCTTGTCTCCAGGGGTGCTGACTCCCTCCAGCTTGGTGGTCTCGATGCAGTGGCTGGGGAGGGATACCTTTAGTATAACAGGTTAAATTAGATGGCCACTGGGTTCCCTTCCAGCTTCCTTTCCTGCCCTCTTTTTCCTCCTGTAATATGGCAGCCTTTATCAGTTCTAATGCTCATTTGAATTTCTCTTCAGACAGCCAGGGCTCTGGGACAACGGCAGGTTTTTTAAAGTGGTATCTTGGCACCTTCATCTGTAGATAATGGTGATAACAGAAAGGGGGATCCTTCTCTACCTTCTGAAGGATTACTTCTGAATCTGGTGGAAGGTGTTACATTTATTTGCTAATACCTGGAGGCAGAAGTATTTCCACAGTACTTTTGATGCTATTTCATCACCATAAGCAGCAATGAAATCATAAATCTGAACACATGCCCCCCCCCCCCAAAAAAAGCACCAGAAATAATTAAATTGTGGTACCAAAACACCCCTTGGAAGCTTGTGATAGCCACACTTTGGTTGTCATATGCCTTCGCGTATGTAAGCAACCCCACGAAGGAACTGAGAGAGAGAGAGAGAGATCTTTTTAGACATTAGACTCCCCCTACCCTCACCCCAGTCCCTTGAGGCCAGGATCTGTTGTGTTTGTATCCTGAGTACCTAATATAGTTCCTGGTGCATAATAGGAATAAAGAAATACTGGTTGAGCAAGCGAATACATGGATAGTCTCTATCACTTCCCCCCAATTTTTTTTTTATTTCCAAGAAGTTCCTTCTGAGAACCAGCTTCAGGTTTTTCTTTCCTTCATTTCATTCCATTCTTACATGTTCATGTTTAAACTTCTCTGCAGCTCGTGATGCCCTGAATAGTAAGCACATGATGGTAAAGATCCGGCCACTCTCTCAGGCCACAAAAGCTGCCAAAGCCAAAGCAAGAGCTTGTGCCGGTGAGTCGAGCCCTCTTTGGTGACTGGTCTTCTGTCCCTGCGTGGCACCCACCCCAGCGCTGCCTCCTCTTGTCTAGTTAGGAAGGTGTCATGGAGGCAGGTGTGGCATCACTCCAGCCTGTCTTACTTCCCTGGCCTTCTGTGTCTCATGACTGCTAGATCCAGGTCTGGCTGAGGCTGACTTGCTTAATGCATTTGCTGCATAAAGTTGTGTTATTGCAAATGATGAAGCCAAGTTGTACTTCACAATGTTAATTTCCTGTGATGCTCATCTAACACTGATATTAATTACTGCTGATGCAGCCCTTGTTAGTCTATTTGGTATGTTAATTACTGTGTTAAATCACTTAGGACTGAGCTGCTTACTCCTTCACTTCCTCCCCCTCCCTGCTTCCTCCTCAGAGTTTCTCCAGCCAGCCAAGCCACGTCCTGAGACATCTGCTGCCCTGGCCCGAAGGCTAGTAATCAATGCCCTTGGGGTGCGGAGTCAGCGTACCAAAGCAGAACGGGATGCAGAACTCAAGAAACTGCAGGAAGCCCGTGGTAAGTTGAAGAATTGGTTCCTTCTCTAGCTCTTTTTAAGAACTTTTCCGGATCTTCACTTGAAGGCCAGCAAGGAAAGGAGAGCAACCTGTTTCGTTTTGCCATCTCCCTCCCTGTGAAGGCTCTCAGGAGTAATGAGATGGTTCTTGTGCTGGTATTTGGGAGAAAGGCATTCTAAAATCTGCTTGCCAGTTTTATACCCAACCAGATATTCTAATCAATGCTCCTTGCAGTGTTTTTCATGAGACATGTGTGTATCAACCTTCTAGATAACATCTATGGTTCTTTGTGAAGCATAATAATGTTTACCCCAGCCTTTAGCAAGATCTTTCTGGTGAAGTACATTTCCAGTTGAAATCCTACCTCTAGCATGAAAGGAACTTTGCCATGGTTTATGCTCAGCACATCCATTACATCACTGTGATCTGATCTTATCAATACTCAGGTAAGAAGTAACAGAGAAAAAAGTGCTGGCAATTCTGTTAACAATTAGAGGGAATGATTTTGATTTTGATTTTTTTTTTTGGTCTGAGACACTCCTGAATATTTGTAGTGTGACATGATCTGGAGTTCATCTTCTAATTATTTACTAGTAGCTAGAGTAGAAATTCTAGGAAAATGTTTCTAGTCTACAAGTAGATTTTTTTTTCTTTCCCCACAGTTGGGAGCTGAAGTTAAAGTCTGTCTCTTTCCCTTTATCGGCTGTTAACTTCTTTGTAAAGGCTTAGAATTCTGGCTTGGCTCCTAAGTACTTTTTATCGACATTTAAGGTTTAGACAGTCTCATTGCCCCAGCTTAAGATCTGGGGAATCTGTGAAGGCATTTTATTCTGAGAATTCCACTTACCAGAAAGTAACTTCATTTTTCCATTAAACGAATTGAAGTTTCAAAGACCTTGTTTATTGCTGTTCTAACAAGGCCATTAATACTTCCTGTCCACTCTGCTGTGGTGATAGCCGCCAGCTTGCGGCCTCTCAGCTGCACTGACCAGATAACCAGTGACAGAGTGTGCCATGGCAGGTGCTGAAGTTTCAAAGCTGAACCCAAACTATTTTTGAAACCTTAATGATTGTAATGAGCTAGTGGTGAGTTCTCTCCCATGCTCCATCATTGAAGGCTTCTCTGAGACTCTAGAGGCAGGAGAGAGGTTTCCTGCTGGTTTTGAGGAGGCGGTAACTAAAGGGCTATGTGAAGAATGGTCAGGGTTGTTAATCCTTTACTTACAAGTGGAATATTACCCCAATGTTACATCATTTTCCTTTGTAGATGTATCAGTTGACGAACATGAGTCTTGCCTAAATGTCCCCTTCAGCGCCCCTCACTTCATGATTTTCTTTGTAGGACTGCAGCAGACAATGCTAGCAGTATAACCATATCAGTACCTTGCCATGCAAATTATATATAAATGATGTGAATGTTAGGACTGTGACTAGTCTGTGCTAGAAGGGAGGAGGGAAGCAAACATTTTATTAAACACCTGTTACATGCCAGGCACTAAAGTGCTTTACAAATATTATTTTATTTGATCTTCACAACAACCCTGAGAGGTATGTGCTATTATTATCCCCATTTTAGAGTTGAGGAAACTGAAGCAGATAGTGGATAAGAGATTCCCCCAGGGGTCATACAGCTAGTAAGTATCTGAGAACAAATTAGAATTCAGGTCTTCCTGACTCCAGGCCCAGAGCTCTGTGTCATCAGCTGCCTGCAAAAAGACCACTATCTTGGTGTAGTGACCTACTGTGACAAATTTCTTTCTGGTGGTACTGATGGTCTAAAAGATCTGAATACATAGACTCTTTCTTTCTTATTGTCTAGAGATGATCCCAGTCTTTGTGTCTGAGAACAGGATTTGCATAGGAGGATTTTGTGTTGTAGTAAAATTTCCTCCCTAACTAGCTTTGTTCCAGATTAAGTAGATGCTATTGTGTTTCTGTGAAGCCCCAAAATGTCCACTTCTCAACATCTGAATTCAGCCTTCTCTTTGAAGATGAGAAAAAGCTCTAGAAGAAATGGAAACCCACCCAGCACTATTTCGGTCACCTTTTTTTCAGCCACAGTGCTTTATATTTTCAAAACATTGATCAAATCCTACCACTGTCAGGCGGCTTCCCCCCCCATTCATGGGTTAAGAAAATATATACCTCCCAGAGGCATCATAGACGAGTAGTTTCTCTTTTCATTGCTGCCCTGCAGATTAAAGTTAAGAATACAAAAGCATAAAAATCCTATCATCAAGCCAGGTTGGATGAGACCTTGAGGCCATATCATACTTAAATCTTCCCTGGAAAGTGATAATCAATTCTGTTTTGAAAGACTCCAGAGGAAGAAATTCCACAGCCTCCCTTGGTAGCCTCTTTCAGTTTCTAACAGCTTTCATTGCCAGGAAATTCTTAAATCTAACTTAAATTTGTTGTTGTTGTTATTAGCCTTTTTCTCCCTAGTTCTCTCCTAAGTGGAAGTAGAGAATCCTTATGAAGACAGACTTAGGAGTGGGAACAGACTTGAGTTTAGCAGTCAGAAAATCTGTGTTCTGATCTGATCTCTGCTTTTATGTGTCTGGGTGGCCATAAGAAAGTCATCATGCCCCAGTTTCCTCATCTGCAAAATGGGCATAATAATTCTTGACCTACCTCCCTGATGGAGTTTTTGTGAAGATAAAAATGAGCTGGTCTGTGAAAGTACTTAGGAGAATAGACCTCGGTTGAATTAGGTGATTTACAAAATCCCTTTGAGCTCTAACATTCTCTAATTCTGCAACTAAGGAATCCTATTCAAATGCCAAATGCTCTTGTGATTGTTACTGGGGTGAATTTGGTGTAAAATCATTATAACAGTATTGACATTATTGTTGCTGATTTCATCACGTCCCTATCCCTCAGCCGTCTCTAGGACTTGATGCCTTTGACTTTTCCTCATAAGCCTTATTTAATCATCTTCATGCCTTGCTTCTAATCTCCTTTACAAATTTTCTCCATCCTCTTAACTATGTAACCTGGATAGCACAAGAAACTGTCCTGTTCACAGATTCAGGATTTGTGATCTTGATTACTTCACTTAGTGCTTCTTCATGCCATGAAGCCATGTGTGAAAAGCTGACTCAGAAAGACCTGGGGAACTTTCCCTTTTCATCTTGGACAACATCTCCTCTCACGCCGATTTGTGATAGCAGCCTAAACTTAAGTACCTTTCTGTACTTCTAGTCCACACTGCTCTCCGTTCTGCCTATTGTGGCTGAGTTGCACAGACTGAAAGAGAGAGTAAAAGTCAGCTTTCATCACCCAATCTACCTAATTAAATCATTGATAATTTAGAAGCAAGTTCTTTTTGTAGATGACTCTGGAGGTGCCTGTGATAGAATTATCTTACAGAATCTCTGAGGTGGAAGGGACCCCAGAGGCCATTGAGTCCAATCCATGCCCACATGAGACTCTCCTGGGAGACAGAAAGGGATAGGGTACTGGCCCAAGAGTCAGAGGACCTGGGTTCAGACCCTGTCTCTGAGGCTTCACCCTCAGTGACCGTCACCAGATCACCTCACCGCTCACAGCCTCTGTCTTCTGTGTAAGATGAAGGTGTTGGACCATGTGGCGTCTGACAGCCCTTCCAGCTCCAGAGCTCTTATCCTCTGGTGCTTCTGCCACTTACATAGCAAATGGTCATCCCCACTTGGCTAGAAAATCTCCAGTGAGGGAGGAAGCCCCCACCTCCTGAGGAACCCATTCCATTTTTGGACAGGTCGAGTTGTTAGGATGTCACCCTCATTTGCCACTTTAAAACATTTTTTCTTTGTTTTTATGAACTTAATAATCATTAACAAATACAGCTATTCAAATATACACACGCTTGGGTTGTATATGAAACTGTGAAATTCTGTTATGTAGTTTGTATTGAAAAGTGTGTATTAAACTTAACATGATGATAAGAAGATTACCCTAATTGTATTCCCTTCGGAACTTTTTTTTTCTTCTTTGTAATTTTAAAAATTTAATTCTTTTTATCTAGTACTCTTGCAAAAGCTGAAAAATGTTGTTTTAACTAGAAAATAATGCATTCAATAGTTGAAAGAATTTAAGTTTTTTGATTTTGAATTAATACTAGTTAAAAGAACTCCCTATGATCTTCCTTCCTAAAATATTTATTAAGTCACTGCAAGGTTCCACAGTCCAGGTGTTGTTTAGGAATACAGAAATATAAATCATAGCCCCTTCCTTATGAAGCTTACAGTCCATTCAGGAAGACAATTCAATTCAGTCGCTCCTATATGAAAAGCAAATAGACAACCTATCATAGTGACTGGAGAGCTGGTCTCCAAGTCAGAAGGAGCGAGGTTTACGTGCATCCTCTGACACACTGGCTCTGTGGCCTTGGGCAAGCATCTTGTACCCTAGGTAGCAAACTAGTTGCCAGATCTTCATTGGAAGAAGAAATTGGCTCACCAGAAGTTACCTACAACAGTGAAATCACAGGTCTAGGCCAAAGTTCATTGTAAAGGACTGTGCTAGATTGTAGGAGAAAGACAAATTAAATAGACCTTGGCCCTCCCCTCATGGAACTCACAGTCTTAATACATAAGAAATATATTAGAATAATCTAAAAGGTGAAGTCAGAAGGGAACAATTGTTCCTGACATGGACATTTCCGGCAAGGTTTAGTTCTAGTGTCAGCATTCCTATTTATGCATCCCATTGTTGGGCTGTTTTTAAATCACAAAACTACATTGATGACTATTGCTCAGGTTTGTGCCATTTAGAAAGTTTTCTGTTTGTTCCCTGAGTGTATTTCCAATCCAGATTACTCCTTATATAAATTTCAGTACCTTAGTATCTGTCTGACCACATCACCGACACATTCAATTAATGCCCCCTTCAGGGTCATTAATAGCTTTAATGAGCATCTCATTTCTTCCATCACAATCTGCAACTTGACAGTTCGTAAAGTGCTTACCTCTCCACAGCTCTGAGAGTATGTCATTATGCCCATTTTACAGAAAAGGAAACTGAAAACTAGACATAAACGATTTACCCAGGGTCGCAGAGCTAATAGGTGATAGGACCATTACATAAATCTAGGTCTTCTGACTTCTCCAAGTCTCCCTCTTCTTTCCACTAAGCCATAGAAGAGTGATGAAAATGTTTAACAACCTTAGCCTAGGAGCCCTGCTGAATACCACTTAGTTCCCCAGATTGATAATACTAACCCATAGATAATCATCCTTTAAGTATGACCTTTCATGGTGGTGTATCTCCCCACCTCTAATATAACTGTTCTGCAAACTGAACTATGTTTTCTCAGTATATTGATAAATATCTAAATGCCTGCTAAATCAAAAAGTCCAAAGCCTTACCAAAATCAAGATGGGTCACATTTTTTCACCTCCCCTTGATCTACCACATTTTTCACTCAAAGAAATAGAAGGATATTAGATTAGTATGGTTGGACTTGTTCTTAATAAAGCCATGTTCATTATTATTCTATAGGTGTTTCTGAATTGATTTTGTGATGATTTTTTTCATTATTTTTCCCGGGTGTGGAAGTAAATCATACAGGTCGCATCCCCTTTCTCTTTTAAAATGGAAACACTGGCTCTTTTCCAATCTTTCGCTCCCCAAGTCTGAGGAATGGTAGCTAGTGACCCTTCAGTGACTTCATTCAATTCATTTAAAACTAGGAAATGTATAAATCATTAGGCCCTGTTTGTTTTCATATTCTGGTACCAGTTCTGCTGTCCTTTCTTCCTCTCTGTCTCTCCTAATCTGTCTTTTACAATGCTGTCCCTGCTTTTAGCTTCTGCATCACTTATTAAAATCATCTTGGAGCTCCACAGAAGCAGGCAAAACAAACTCCTACCATCTTTTAGTGTTTTCTGTTATGTTCATTTGGATAAAGGGACAGCATTTGTCTTGAGTTTTCTGCTTTACATGTTTTCCTGTTTGTGTGTTCCAGTTGTATTTTAAAGTGGCATTGGGGCTTAGGGGAAGAGAACATAGAAACCCTGGCTCCCAATGTGGACTTTGGAAGCCCCTCTCTGGTCGTCCGTTCCTTGTCTGTAAAATGAGGAATGAGGAAGGTGACCTAAATGATCTCTCTCCTTCAGCTCTGAGATTCTTTTATCCTAGGCCTGCTTGAGCAATTCAGAATGTATTCACTGTTGCTTTGAACTGATTGCTAAGGAGGGTGCGGGGTGTAAGTTGGGGTTGGCTTGTTTATTGGCATGAACCATCTAGTTTCCCCTCACATTTCCCATGTTTTTTATATTCTCTTAAACGATTAATGTTCATGAAGTCATCCCTATTCTACTTTCCCCTAGAAAAGCTGTTCTTAACCATTTTTGTGTCATGGATGGACCCCTGTGGTGGGCTTTTGAAGCCTTTGGACCCTTTCTCAGAATGTTTGTGGCCTACATTCCTAATTTAAGTGAATGCTAACTTTTAGTGAAGGATTAATAAAAAACAAAGAGAGAGATACGCATATATAGAATATACATGTGTCTATATATGTATTATATATGTATGTATTATACATACATACGTGTGTGTACTCGTATATTTTTTTCTTCTCGCCCTGCCCCCCATTTAAAGTTCACAGACCCCATGGAAATCTCTCCCTTAGTGGACCATAGACACTAGATTAAGAATCCCTTGACCTCCAGCCTTTTATAGTTTGCTTAGCTTGATTGAAAAGCTTGATTTGTAAAAATTCGCTTTTTGCTTGTTTTGCAGGAGTCCCATTTACTTTTCTTGTAGTCTAGAATCCTTTTCTGTTTCTGCTCACGTTCTCTTAAGGTTCCTCCACCTTTGATTACTTAATAAACTTCTCTGTGTTGGAGAACTAGGCAGTTCCTCAGTTTTCTAAACAAGCCAGTTACAGCCAGTACATTTGGATGCCATATGTCTAGCTACCCTAGTCTGACCTAGAGCCAAATCATAACCTTGGGGTTATCCCCAAGCAGTCATTTTCTATCAGGGAAAGAACAGGGCACTGGATTGAACAGCCATTTGCCTTGATAGAACTGCACCTACAGGCTCGTTCCCATTTTTTTCACGCGGATGTCTTGGCTGCTGTATTCAGCGCGTACCACAAGATGGAGCCCAAATTGCAGTAAATTCCTTTCCCTGTCATTGTCACCTGCTGCACTGCAACCTGGCAGTGCTTTTGCCCCTAGAGTGTTAGAGCCAGAGAATTAAAGGCAAGATATCTCATTTCTTTGTGTAGGTATAATTTAAAAAGTATTTTTATTTATGCAGCCTCTTTGATCCTCCTGCTATAGACATTAACATATTTAGTCCTTTCAATAGACCCAGATGGCAGATAATTGGTAAAGCGTGTTTTATAAAGTTTGGAGATATAACTTATTTGATGTAGGAACTCCCAGGTGAGGAAACTCTCAACCAATGTAGGTTAGCAACTTCTCTACAACTTAGAGTCTTAAAGAGTGACCTAGAGCACTGAGAAGTAACTCACCTAGAGTCACATGGCCAGTTTGTGTTAGAGGTAGGACCTGAACCCATGTCTTCTTGTCTTCAGGGCTGGTTCTCTATGCCCTGTGCCATGCTGCCTTTCACTGTCAAATAGAGAAAATTAAGTCACTGCCCCCAAAATTGCATTTTCAGTGATCTTCAAAGCAACATCAGTCCTTCACCATTTCTTGTGGTCATTATCATTTACTGAGTATTGATTCTGCCCTCATCTACCCCCAAAAACTTCCCCATCAGTAATTCAAAAACACGGAGCTTAAGAAGTATTTTGCAGTAAAGCTGTGTCAAGAAGGTATAGCCTATTGCAGTGTTACCATTTCTATTGGAGTTTTGAACCAGAGGTTCAGTAGTGAGTACGTAAACACGTTCTTGACACCTCACCCTGACCCTTGTTCCTCTTGAGAATAAATGAGGGATCAGTATAAAACAACTAACCCCAAAATGATAGGCAGTCTGAAGGAGGCATTGATACAGTTGAGAAGTAGAGTAGGAGAGGCAAGACTAACCAAGCAAGAACTGATATCTGGAATTTGCTGGAGTCTGACCCTAGTTCTGAAATATATTTTTTCCAATAACAGTACTAAACATATGCACACCAAATGGTTTAGCATCCAGATGTTTAAAGAAGTTAAATGAGTTACGGGAGAAAATAGTAAAACTATACTAGTAGAGGATCTCAACTTTCCCCTCTCAGAACTCGATAAATCTAACCAAAAAAATAAACAAGAAAGAAGTTAAGAAGGTGAGTAGAATTTTAGAAAAGTTAGATATGATAGACCTGGGGAAAATTGAATGGGGATAGAAAGGAATATATCTTTTTCTCGGTGGTATATGGCATCTACACAAAAATTGACCATGTATTAGGGCATAAAAATCTCACAGTCAAAGGCAGAAACATTAAATGCATTCTTTTTAGATCATAATGCAATAAAAATTACATTCAATAAAGGGCCATGGAAAGAAAGATTAAAAATTAATTGGAAACTAAATAATCTAATCTTAAAGAACAAGTGGGTCAAAGTACAAATCATAGGAACAATCGATAATTTCATTAAAGAGAATAACAGCAATGAGAAAACATTCCAAAATTTGTGGATTGCAACCAAAGCAGTACTTATGGGAAAATTCATATCTCTAAAATCAACAAAATAGAGAAAGAGCAGATCAATGAATTGGTCATGCAACTTAAAAAAAAAAACAAACAAAAAACCAGAAAAAGAACAAATTAAAAATCTCCAACTAAACACCAAATTGGAAATCCTGAAAATCAAAGGAGAGATTAATAAAACTGAAAGTAAGAAAATCATTGAACTAATAAATAAAACTAAGAGCTGGTTTTATGAAATATACCTTTTTCTCGCCTCTTCATGCTTTCCCTTGTTTCTCTATAATACGACATTTTCTTATTGGTGTTGCAGAGGCATTAGTTACTCGTAACCATATTAGGAAAAACCAGTGATTCTACTTGTCTTGGTTAAAATTTCCCTGAAAACTTGGACTGAAGGAAAGTCAGTCAGTTGGTGTTGTGTGGAACCAATTTTAACATTGCTTGCCTTTACAGAAAGAAAGCGGTTGGAGGCCAAGCAACGGGAAGACATCTGGGAAGGCCGGGACCAGGCTACTGTCTGAACATCACCCAAAGAAAGGGATCGTTCCACAGATTCAGAAGGCTCCAGGCTAGAAGACCCTTACTGAATTTCCTTTGTGTGTGAGAAAGACAGAGGCTGTGGATTCAGAGAGAAAGTAAACTTCTCTGTCTTGGTGGCACTGCTTCCTAGACCTGGAAGGAACAGTTTGGAATCACTCCACATGGAAAATAGGAGGAAGCAGTGTTCAGCAACGAGGAAGAAACTTGGAAGATGATGCCCCTTCAGAGAGTCCACTGGGCAAGAGAAGCCATCGATGTGTGAACGATTTACCTGTGAAGAGCTTAACCCACCTAATAGCAGAACAGAAGAAGGCTAGAGGAGTCACCAGGGCCCCAGGCCAGAAGATACCAGGACCTTGATAGGAAAGATATAGGCCCTGAAAGACATCCTCCAGCCCCTCTTCCAACTGTGAGCAGAGATGTCTGGACAGTCAGCAGATGTAGGTGAAGAATCCAGTATTCTCAGGGTGCCCGGAACCAGAATTTTAGTGCTGGCTCCTTTTTAAGGATAGGTCCAGAGCCCCATAGCTGGCTGACAGCAGCACATGTTATGGATGTTTGGTCTCAAGAGTTTCAGCTTTGCTGAGAGCCTGCCCGCTGCTGCTTCTGTCACATGATAGCCGGGGTGTGCCCACGGCACAGTGGCCACCAGTGCCTATGTAAACACTGATGTCATGATGCATTAAATCTATTTCCTCACATGGGCGTCTCCACTCTGTTTTGTCATCACCACAGCCATAGGGAAGGTGGGGCTGCAGAAGGAATTCCTTTCTCATCTTCATCTCAGCAGTACGTATAATGCACAGGTTAAGTGGAGTTTTTACTCATCCTGCACCTTAATGATCTAATCCCGTGTCTCCCAAAGTCCTCTGTAACAGTGGCCTTTTCTGACGTGGGATTATTGTACAATTGTTAGCATTTGGCATTTGTGACTTGTAGCCCCCTCCTTCTCATCAGCCATCACCCTCTAATCTGTCATCCCACAGAAAGCATCTGGCACACAGCATGTTCTTAGTGTAATCATCTCAGCTTGTGCCAGCAGCACTTGGCAGGCAGCTAGAGACAATCCATTAAGGCTAGGAGCAGCCAGGGTCAAGTAAACCCCCTCTGGGCAGGGCCAAGAAACTTTCCTACAGGAAACAGGACAAGTCAGAGACCTCAGCCCAGGCTCCAGGCACCGTGGGGCCAGCAGGCCATGCTGCAAGGTGCCAGCATGGAAGAACTGGCCTTTCCTGGGGTCCTCAGCGAGGCTGGGAGCTCTGTTCCTTGTGGCTTAGTGCTAGAGATGGCCATAGATGAACAGCACTGCCTGGGTCAGGATGGAGGAGGGGGCTGTGGAGGAAACGTTGCCCAGATGCTCCCCACGAGGGAGCCTTCATCCTAACCCCATCCTTCTTGGAGCCTCCATGGGCCTGCACCAGGATCATTTCTTTGGTGATCCGATTCTTGGTTATCGCTACCACTGTCCCTTGGTCTTGCTCCCTACGTACCCTGTTTTTACAGTTTTTGAATCACTGATACTTCTGATTCTGATCCTTAATCCCATTGTCTCTCTCTTCAACCTACAGCAACAAGGCCTTCTCCTCCCTCTCTTCCCAAAACAAGCTTCCTTGAGGTCTTTAGCCCGATTTCTGAGAGAGGAGACCTCTGTTTGGGAAGTATTAGTGTTGGGCCTACAATAGAGTGACCTCATCTATGGTGGTGTGTTAAAGGAAGTGCCACAGAACTGTGGCTGGTCAGCTCTGCCTCCTATACCTCAGAGGCATCCCTTTTCTTGTCTCTGTTTCCCTGAAGCCAGGGGGTCATTAACACAAGTAGAGAGTTTTTTTTATTACTTCCCATTGAGGGCTCTTGACCTTTCCTAAGAGCATTTTAGCCTTCAAAGGCAGGATCTTTGTTAAAGTGTGCCATCTAATGCAGATTACATTCATTATCTGAGATGTCATGTGTCCCTTTCTCTCAGAAAGTCCCTTCTACTTCCTTCCTAACATCCCAACATTCTTTTTCTCCTGGTGTTTACTCTCATAACCTAAACTAGAAGGATTTTTTTAGACAAAAGTCAAAAGCTCTGGGACTCCTCTCTTTCATATACAAGTAAGATTCTACTGCCTTACCAGTAGGACATATGCTTTGAGTTTTTTCAGTAGAGGCGATGAATTTGCACCAAATTGTTTCCATTCCCTTTCTGAACAATGACTTTTTTTCAAGACCAGGTTTGGGTGAAGGATGCAGGCAGATGTCATGGATAGGATGAACCTACCGGCCCTTCCATAGCAGCCATGGTAGCCCTCTGCTGTAACCCATTTCCTACCAACTAGAGTCACCCCCAGATGGAATGGGCCTCCTGCGGGGGTTGGTAGGTTGCCTCTCATGAGAGCTCTTCTAAAACTAAGGTTAGATCACCACTTGCTGGGAATTTGGGGCACCTCTTGGTGAGGGTCAGACTAATGCCTCTGAGATCCCGTCTGACTCCGAGAGTCTCTGATTCTGTACCAGGTGGGGCTAGTCATGGTGAATCATGGCATTTAGCCCTGGAAAAGACTTCAGAGAATATTTCATCTAGTCAGAGATCTCCACTTTATAACTGAGGAAATTCAGAGAGGCAATGGTAGCAAATTGCAGAGCAGGGCTTCAAACCCAGGTCTCTGACTCTTAAGTCCAGTGCTGTTTCCCTGTACTGTACCATTTCTGTTAGGCCCTGAGTAGATGCAGTCATCTTTACATGCGTACAATGTTCCATCCTTATTCAGTCATTAATGTCTTGTTATTTAGTGTCTTAATGCCTAGAATTAAGTCCAGATAACAAATATTCCCGGTTAGTCCTAAAATCCTCTGCCCACAGCTGAAATACCTAATTGCAATTACTAAAGCCCAGGAGACATGGAATACAGCTAAGCTGGACTTCTGAGGAGTAAGCTCGGGCTTCTCGGGCTTCAGCTTCATAGAGACTGAAATATGCTGAGGCCCCATCTTCCAGCTTTTTGGGGTCTCTCTGGAATCTGGTGGTTGGCCCTTGGTTAACATTCCTCACCCAGCTATAAGCTATGTTAGCCAACACCACCCCCTCCACATCCCCCTTCCTTCCTTTTCAACTCAGCCCTGTAACAGCACAGCCCTTGTGTGGCCTCTTGCAAAGGTTGGAACTAGCCCCTCCTCTCCAGCATGTGATGTGGGCAGTAGCATTGGGACCGGGACGGTGGCTGTCTGCCTGACCTGCTTTCTCTGGCACTCTTTGAAATTGGGTCCTGCCAGGAGCTATGGGTAACCTCCCTGCCGTAGTCATCAATCACCACATACTCCCCCACTAGATGCACGCTTTTCCACAGACCATTAGCTACATGTGTGGGTATAATGTTGTTACTGTTTTGGAGCTGTTTGCTGAAGCCGACAGGAAATCGGTCCTTCCCTTGTTTACCTAACCTGCCATACCAAATATAATATAATGTCACTTCTGCTTAATAAAAGAACTGGGGGAGTTGGGAAGAGAAAGTACAGTACAGGGAACAAGGGAACACAACCACACCATTTTATATTTGTGGAGTACACCCTTTTGCTCCCAGAGAAGAGAGACAAGGCTAAATGGAAGGAGAGAGTAGCTGACGTGGGTGGGGTGGGCATTTGGTTATAAATCTGCCCCATCCACCCTAGACTTTGAGCTATAGGAACAATAGAAGACCTTCTCCAATAATAAAAACTAATAACCCTGGGGATTTATCTTTTTATTTGTTTTCTTGTGTCCCACCGCTCTTGGCACTGAGCCTAGGGCAGACTGTTTGAGGGAGGCAGGAAGCAGAAGTTGGCTTGTGTGGGAGGTGGAAGAGGGGATTCATTTATCAGACACAAGGTTGGACTAGATGACCTCTAAAACTAAGTATCTGTGATTCAGAGGTTTGTGGTAGCCTAGGAATTTGGCCGGTCCCTAGTTGGAGAGACGGTGTGAGGACCAGCACTCTACTGACCACAGTGCCCCAGGGTGTGTTCCCAGAGTGGTTGGATTTCATGCCACCTGTGTGGGGGCTTTTTGATAGCACACAACAGCCACATTGCCCAGTTCAAATTTCCATCAGGTACTTTGTCTCCTCTCTTTCTCAACCACCACTCTTTCCCCAAGATTTGTTAGCAGATAGATACTCATTACATTGCAAAACTTATTTATTTATTTGTTGTGAAGTTCACTCTAGAGACTTTGTTCAGACCTGGAATTAAATTGGACCAGAGGCCAGTCCTGAGACAGAGTGACCCTGAGGCAAGCATGTTGATGACAGACATCATTCTTTGGTGTAAAGGCCCCTGGCATGCCCTAGAGCCCAGATTTTTACCGTCCACTGTGTTTTCTTGGGCCATTGTTCTGTGTGACCTATATGTACATCCTCACAGACATCAGGCGCTAATGGTGACCTGAGACCTAAGTTGCCAGGGAAATGGGACCTGCAAACATGCAGCTGAGTGTGGGTGAAGATCCAGAAAGAAGACTGGGCAATGGTGCAGGGAAAGAGAGCAGACGGAAAGCCATGGCTGGTGCAAAGCATGGGACCAAATCCACTGACTTCTAGACGTCACTGTTGACTTTTACTCAAGCTATGCTGCTTGAACTGCTCACAAAGAACAGTTTATTCCATCAAACTTCTGTTGGCTTTATCCCCAGTGCCACTGCAAAATATATAAAGCACCGTAGAGTTGGGGCTCCTGGCCATCCCACGAAGGTTAGAGTCTGTGGAGCCAGTGGATGGTGGCACAGAGTCCAGGGAAAGGTGGCTCTGTGAGAGACTCAGGGCTTGGCGTCTACAGGCTCCATACGACAAAGGGCCAGGCCCAGTGCTGTCTTTAGGGGCTAGGCACATCCTGGTTTGGCATTCTCTCCTTCCAGGGCTCCCTGAGCATATTCTTGTTGCTTCTGGGCACTGTCCCCTCCTCCGGAGGCTGAAGCTCCATGAAGGCTCTGGCTCCAGTAAGCTGAGGTATCTGGTGTTTGGACAGCAGATGGAGGGTCATGGCCAGGGCCTCAGATGAGGTTGTTCACCAGTCGCTGCTGCTGTTCTAAGGACACTTCCATATTGGCTCCGTAGGCATCACCTACAGTGTGGGACGGTAAGGATGAAGGGGAAGCATCAGATTCTGTCACCTCTCTTTACACCATTGTAAATAGACACATCCACCAGTAGTCAGTCCTGTGTCCTGGCACCCATCCACAAGAAGAGAGCCCCTTTCCACCACTGCCCCCTGAAGTCAGGATGAATAGACTGAGGCTTTGCTATGAATTGACAGAGGCCTCTTTAGCATCCTCAGAAGTCATGGAAACTAACTTTGAAAGAAACATGGTTTCTCTTCCCCTTTCACTTCCATGTTCGTGGAATGACATCCCAGTATTCTAGAGCATGATGCTCTGTGTAGGGTAGGCATGACTCCTCTCACTCCCGGCCTCCATCACTACCACCATTATCATCCTTAGCTTCTGCTTCCGAAGGGTATCCCTGAACTTCCATCCAGACCCTGCATCATCTTCCAAAAAACCAGCCATTGCATAAGCGCACGAAGCACCTTGCACATAAGTAAGCACTAAAATGTTCAAGTTCAATTGAACTTAGGCTAAATTTGAAACTGAAATCAGGGAAGATCTCCCAACTGGATGACCTTTTTGTTCCCCACCACCCTTCACTTCTGCCCTAACTCCTCCCTTCTCAGTCTTGCTCAGGATTGGGTA